GGGGGGGGGGGGGGGGGGGGGGGAGATTTCATCAACTAAGTATCATGCACCCAACCGTTCATTGGCCTGTTCTTCCATATGAAAAATTCCTATAAAATCCAAATTTCCTATGTGAATCTGAATTTCCTATAGTAACTTCTCTAGGAAGTTTACATTCCTATAAGAATAGAATTTAATTCCTATAAGTCTTTATACAGAAAATTGGATTTCATAAAGAAATTCATGACTGATAGTCCAAACTTCCCAACTTATTTTACTTGTTCCATGCCAGAAAATGTTGCCTCAGCCTTTTAAAATGGTTTCAATGCTTTTGCTATAGGATATGCCCATACCAGTTATTGCTCAAGTTAAAGGTATTCAATTGTTATCAACTAATTTGAAATAAACTAAATACACAAATATAGTATTTAAATTGTATACTCAGGCATACCATGCTCAATGCTTTCTCGTAGCTAGCATTTTCAACCTAAAATGAAACAGCAATTATGGTTAAATTTTATTTTCTAGGTTTGGCCACGGCAGCTGGATGTCAGCTCGTAGCAAGTTGTGATTTGGCAGTGGCTGCGACAAACACACATTTTGCAACACCTGGGTAATGGCATATTATGTATTGTAGTACCACCACCACTATCTACCATGATCATCATCATTCACAATACCATAATCACAACTACCACCATCCTTGTGCACCCCCATCACTATCCGGTCTATCCCCATCACCACCACTGTCATCATCTCCACCACTATCACCATCATCACCACCATCATCATTATCACTATCACAGACCTGCCAAGTCTCACGATTTAATCGCGAGACTCACGATTTTTTATGCTTTCTCACGATTAAGTCGGCCCCAAATCTCACGATTTTCGGCAAAATCTCTGCTAAAACCACAAGTGATTCCAAACACCTGTGGAAAAAAGAAATATGCTATTATTTCATGAGACTTGACACTGGAAGCTACTGAAGCCTGCATAAAGAAAAAAACAGCTTATTTTTAAAATAAGCCTTGCATTACGGTTATATTAACAAAATATAAATGCATACTATCCTAAGATTGAATATCTATTGATTATTTTCTAGTGTTGTTAAAGTTAACCCTGGTCATATTAATGAGCAAACCTGAAAATCAAAATTTCTAAGTCTCACAATTTTTCAGTCAATCTCGCGACTTTTTAGATAGCAACTCACTATTTCTGCTACTCAAGGGTTGGCAGGTCTGCTATCACCATTATCACCACCATCATCACAACCACCACCACCCACACCATCATATCCTCATGCACCCTCACCATTACCCCAACCACTGTCATCACCCCACCACCATCATCACAACCACCATCATCATCATCACCACCATCAATACTTACTAACTGTATTGTAACACACCAGGGTGAACATTGGTCTATTCTGTTCAACACCAGCTGTCGCTCTTGGCAGGGCAGTCCCTCATAAAATAACGATGGAAATGTTGTTCACAGGGAAACCTATTTCAGCTGAAGGTTGGTTGCTCATATAAATTAGTTACCAGTGGTTGCCAGTTACCTCTGTAGTGTAAAAACTTGCTTGGTTAAATTCTCTTCTAATCAAATGTCTTCGTTAATGTTGCCGTCTTTAGATGCGTTTCGTTACGGCTTGATCAATAAAGTTGTTCCAGAAGATGACTTGGAAGAAGAGGTATTTAATAGACAATACAGTTTGGAACTGATAAAGCTATCCACAAAGTAGTTTAGTTTTTATTTCCTCCTGCAATAACACTGGATCAGTAAGAGATTATCTTTACTGTACCTCTAGGAAGAACAGTGTAGAACTGATAGAGCTATCCAATATAAATAAAGTAGTTTAGTTTAGGTTTCCTCCTGTGGTGTAACACTGGATCGATAAGAGATGATCTTTACTGTATACCTCCAGGAAGAACAGTTTAAAGTACCTCCAGTATAAATAAAGTAGTTTAGTTTAGGTTTCCTCCTGTGGTTCGATAAGAGATTATCCTTACTGGATCTCCAGGGAGAACAGTTTAGAAATGAACCAATATATAAGGAGAACGGTTTAGAACTAATAGAGCTATCCAGTGTAAATAAAGCTTAGGTTTCTTGCTGTACTTACTACTAGCGACACTTAGGACACTACTGTTGGTAACGTATTAATTGGTCGATATTATTTTTCCTCATCTTCAGACAATGAAGCTAGCAGAGCAAATATGTACAACCAGTCAGCCAGTGGTCGCTATGGGCAAGAAATGTTATTATAAACAGATCACACAAGACAGAGACGATGCTTACAGGTTGGATATACAGAGATACATCGATATCTTAGATTCGATCAAGTCTAGTTTGCCCTAACAATAGAGCAGAAAGAAGTTGCTTGTGTTTCCCATAGAAATAATAGATGTTATTTCTACGGTGTTTCCTCAGCTTATGTTCAATGTTTTGCTAGTTAAAAAGCGTGCTTGATAAGAGGGCCCCCTATACTTTTTGCGTGAAGCGTGAAGGGCTTGTTTTACTTAGCCGTGAAACGTGATCAGGCCCCCTATACTTTTTGCGTGAAGCGTGAAGGGCTTATTTTACTTAGCCGTGAAACGTGATCGATGATTTTCTTAATCCGTGACTCGTGAAAAGGCAAAATATTTTTACGTGAAAGCATATTGTGAAGAGGTATAGGGGGCCCTCTGATAAGAGCAACCACAAAGTATTCAATGAGTTACGGAATGATCAACATGAACTCCACCTTTGAATTTACTATACGAGTAAATTCTTAAACACGTCCGAATTTATCATTATGATTTTCAAGATTTTCAAAAAATAGTTTTTTAAAAAAGTTTAAAAAAAATTTTAAAAGAGTTTTAAAAAGCAAAAAATGTTTAAAAAGTTAGATTTTCAAAAAAGTTTAAAAAGTTAGGGTTAGGGGTTAGTGGTTAGGGTTGGTGTTAGGTGCCGCGAATTTATTATTATGATAAATTCAAAATGTGCCGCGAATTTATCATAATGATAACTCAGAACATTAATACAGGGTTTGTAGTCTCCAAGACCAAAAATATTTAAAGGCTTTGAAAGATTTTTTCTGCCTATTTTAAAATACCTTTGAGAACAATCAGCTGTCGAAAAATTGCGAGTGTTTTTACCGGGTAATTAGTCCCGTCAAATCACATCCTAAAATGCACCTTTTCGTCGATATTTGCGAAAATCTTGCTTCGATCAATCTATTTTATTAGCTAGGAAATCGTATAATCAAATACTCACTAAAGAATTTGAAGACTATTAAAGACTTTCTTCGCTTTTTCACACAATTCAAAGACTTTTCAAAGACCTTAAAGACCTGAATTCAAATTTAAAGATTTTCAAGGATTTTCAAAGACCGCTACGAACCCTGTAATAGCTCATTCACGAATCCTCCCACCCCAAAATCAAACAGTTGCTTTTCAATTTTCAAATTATTGCCTTGTTTTTATATTGGTACAGGATTGCAGGTCAAGTAATGGTGGACAATTTGAAGTTACAAGATGGCAATGAGGGAATCAAGGCGTTTATTGAGAAACGAAAACCTCAGTGGACTCACGCAGACGATACGAACAAATAAATATACATAAAGTGTATACACTTTTATAAATATATCAGTGTAAACGAATCTTAATTCAGATTGAAAATATGAAAATTATACGTGTTGGCAGGTTGAAGGGAGCCATATGAATAAATTTGCTCATGAGTAATACTAATTTTAGTGGTTGCATTATTTTACTCAATTTTTTCAGTGAGAAACAATGGGTAATTCCAGCATGGACGAAATTTTGATCTAGGCACGAAGAACGAAATCCAACACCACAGCTAGAAAGAGCATCATAAAATGAGTAAAACTGCAAAGATTGGTTGCTAAATGTTGTAAAATGAAGAAAATATAGCCTTGTGAAGTTCTCAAATTTGGTATGTACTATTTAAAGCACGCGTAGGAGTGTTCTATCACATATAAAACACGACGCGTAGCGGAGTGTTTTATATGTGATAAAACACGACTACAAGTGCTTTAAATAGCTTCAAACACGACTCATCTTATACGAGTTCATTGGCGAAGTAATTTCTAAAATAAACTTTGTCTAAACCGAGAAAATCAAAGCTAAAGTTTATGTAAATTAACGTGATTTTTTATCACATATAAAACCACGCCACGCTTATGATTTTTCTTTGTGTTTTGCTCCTGAATTATTAATGAGTTTTTGAAATATTTGCATTACGCGCGTGAAAAATAACCATTTTTGAGCGGAAAGTTATTTTTGGTTATTTTTCACGCGCGTAATGCAAATATACACAAAAATGGCGAACTTCACAGGGCTATATTTTCCTCATTTTACAACATTGCGCAACCAAACTTTGCAATTTTACTCATTTTAAGACGCTCTTTCTAGGTGTGGTGTTGGATTTCGTTCTTCTTTCCTAGATCAAAATTTCGTCCATGCTGGAATCACCCATTAGTGACTGGATGGTTTAAAGAACAGTGGGATGTTTTCAAGATAAGAAAAAAGACAATGAAACACTTCGATCACTGGATAAATGATCATGACAGATATTATACAATCTCAGGATGTACTTCTCTGGTTTAATTATGCTTTTCATCTCTCTTAGATTTTCAGCGCTTTTCATTACAGTATATCACCATTTACAATCATATATACTTTATCTTTCTACCTGCTCTTAAAGATGTCCACCTCTCACAGCGTCTTGATACGACCTACCGGATGATTCTTCTTGCTTCTTATCCAGTTTGATCATATCATCAATACGGAGTATAGTGATCGCTGCCTCTGTCGCAAACTTTAGACATTTCACTTTACATACGACCGGTTCTAGTACGCCTGCTTTTTTACTATCTCGAACTATACCTTCAACGAGATCTAGACCCATCCTGGTAAGAAAGGATATACTATTAAAGGGGCAGTGTGATCAAATTTTTTATTTTCTTAAAGTGCTCGTAAAACTGTATAATAACTTGTTTTGAAGATTGTTGTTTCCATGCTTAGTTCTTGAGATATTTCATTTTGTTTGTAACCATGTGACGTCATTTACTCAATTACATATATAATGAGATATCAGTAATTGTTGTGTATCTTTGCTATTTTTATCTAAATACTTCGAAAGATGCGGCGCGTTTGTTAATTTAACCTGCATCATACTGTGTTTTTTAACAAATCGATCAAAAATAGCAAAGATACACAACAATTACTGATATGAAAAGAAATATATATATAAACATAAACAATAATAATTCATAATTTGTCACGAATAATAATGATATAAAAAAATACTAATTAGGATGGACTTTTTATACACAAAAGCTCATCTTAATTATAGTATTCTTTATGTAAAGAATAGTAATGAGACAGCACCTATTGTTGTCGTGTTTGAAGCTATTCAAAACACCTAGGCCCACCTGAATAAACGCCTGTTTGCAGGCTAGTGAGAACATAACTTCCAGTTCGACTCTGCCAAACCCCCACTCGTTTCCTGTTTTCTCCTACAGTAACACTGAACCAGTAATGAATTGCCCTTATACTGGACCTCTTGGGAGAACAGTTTAGAACTGAGAGAGTTTGTTTAGTTTAAGTTTCCTCCTGTTTAGCATGTCCTTTATAGGACCTAGGGAGAACACTAAAGCCCTGGGCAAACTAGGAAACATTGTTGTGGAAACATTTGTGATTCTCGATGTTTCCTCAAATGTTTCCCTGTTTGCCCATCGTGGAAACATTGTTGCGGAAACAAAATTTGCTTCCCGAGAAGCAAAAATGTTTCGTAGCAAATTCAGAAACATTTGATGTTTCCCTATGTTTCTCACTAATGTTTCCTAGTGTTTGCCCACTCTGGGAAACATGGCGAAACATTGGCAGGAAACAATGTTTCCGCAACAATGTTTCCTAGTTTGCCCAGGGCTTAACTGTATAAAGCTATACACTTAAATGTTACAGTAGTTGAGATAGGGTTTCTTCCTGTAGTAACACTGGATTAAAAAGCATCAACATGCGCGATAGGACTTACCATTTAAAGTTGACTTTATCTTTGTTTGTCTGCGAAGTGTTATGATAAGCTCGTAGTTTTGCGACCAGCTCAGTCGAGTCTTTAGCGGCGTTCACAGCCAGTATTTTTGGTATCACTAACAGTGAATTAGCAAACTCTGCTATCGCCAACTGCTCTCTTGAACCCTGGAATCAATAGGCCACGTAAAATAAATTCCTTCATTCTCATCACCGGCCGACTGTATTTCAAGAACCGCGTGAATATTTCTTATATTTCGTTATACAATATAAATGTACCGCCCGACAAAATATTTCAAGACAGTTTAAGTTTGTTATATTTTATATTGGGTTTTTAGGGTCATTTTAAACTTCCAACTTCAAATAAACAGAACAACGTCGAAAGAAACTTCACTGCATTTTAAGGGACTTCGCATTTAGTTTAAGGGACTTCAAGGGTTCAGTCGTGCGTGGAGATACGTTGGATGTGATAGAAATGTGTAATGTAATGTGTTTATTTCGGTTTGTGACAGCCGCACCTCACTTCGGAAATCACAGAAATATTAATTTATATACCTAAGCGCGCAAAGCTTGATGGGAGCACAAGTTTCATGCTTAGTAGTTGCATTTTGCTATTTGCGAATGAATTGTTCTCGTTAGGAGATATTTACCATGTCTCTAAGAAATGGGTCCCATATATGATTTCTAAACTGATTAAATGATGCTCCAATTACTCTTTGCACGCTTAGAGCTTAAGGTTTAGAGTTTAGAGTTTAAGGTTTGCAAAGGACAATCTTTTTTGAATTAGCTGTATATATTGATATATAAACTTTATAAAATAAAAACCTCCCGTCTGATCGACATTTTCAAAATGTAGTGGTGAGAATCAAGGAATCAGTATTTTATGAGAATCAAGAAAATTTAAGATGAAAAATGGATTGTTGAATTCTTGAAAAAAAATTCTTGAAAAAAAATTCTTGAAAAAAAATTCTAAAAAATTCTTGAAAAAATTCTGAATTTTTTATGAGAATCAAGGAATTTTTTTCAAGGAATTTATTTGCCTAAGTCAATAACGAGCATAGGGGCAAGGGATGAAGGGTAAATAGGCTTTCTATGATGAATATACAAGCGTTACAATACATGTGAAAATGCAGTGTAGAAAAAGTTGAACTTACAAGAGACGTAGCAAAATTTTCTAAGTATATTGAGAGCGCAGCCTCAACGGCTCCCCCTCCTGGAACGACTTTCTTGGAATCCAGAACACGCTTTACCACGCAGAGAGCATCGTGTAGAGACCTCTCCATCTCGTCTAACATGAAGTCATTAGCACCACGAAGTATGATAGATGCAGCTGATCTCGCTTTGGGCCTACGTTTGAATGGAGATTTATTTGTTAGATCTGGAAAAGCCAAGATTGACTTGACGAGAGAAGATCTGAATGACTGATTACACAGGGAAAATTTAATTTTCCAATAATGGTTTTTAAAGATTTACCACATACTGACTAATCATGGAAGAACTGATCTCTTACAATGCATGAAAAACTGAACTGTTACCATCATTATAAATTTCCCACATGGTAAATTGTTTAAAAACCATGATATTTTAAACTATGTGAAGCGTTCCTCTTTCGACTTCCTAACTCATTTGGAATTTTCCTAATTGCCTTTGCAAATTTGAAAAACCTTTGCAAATCCCTTGAGGGAATTTGCAATGGTCCTATCGGCTGTTACAGTATTCCGATGCAGAGAAATTCCTTTTAAATTAATTTTCCTAACTTCCTGTTTTAATTTCCTGAATTCCTGTTCTGATCTGAGCGTTGTCATTGGCGGATTATTTTTGTTAGGCAATTACACCGCACAGAACAGAACAGAACAGAACA